GATAGAAGAGGACACAATGGCCGAAGGATTTCGCCGACCAGACCCGCTGATTTTCGTTAGCAACATAGAAGAAAACTGGAATTTGACATATTTATCGCAGCAGCCCACAGTGAAAAGCCAGATAAAACTAAAGCCTACATACTCCTCAATCTTGCGGGACCAGAGGCAATTGGAAGAGAGCGTTCATTCACATATGCTCCAGCGATACTGGCTGCCAATGGGCAAGATGTAATTACACCAGCGGAGTCAAGAGAAGATCCAGAATGTTTAAAGTGTAAATTCAGAGAAGTGTGCAATCCGGAGACAAACGTGACGATAGAGAGACACTCGTTTAACACCAGAAATCAAAAACCAGGAGAAACCATTGAGGCCTACATGAGTACGCTAAGAAATAAAGCAAAAACATGTAACTTTGGTGCACTCACAGACGAATTAATCAGAGACAGACTGGTGTGTGGCATAGACCAGTGGTTCCCAACCCTGGTCCTGGAGGCACCCCAACACTGCATGTTTTGCATGTCTCCTTAATCAAACACACCTGATTCAGGTCATCAGCTCATTAGTAGAGACTCCAAGACCTGAAACTTGTGTGTCAGAGAAAGGAGACATGCAATGTAGTGTTGGGGTGCCTCCAGGACCAGGGTTGGGAACCACTGGCATAGACAATGATAGCGTGAAAAGAGTGTTGCTCAAAGAAAGTGATTTAACTCTTGCAAAAGCGATTAAAATATGCCAAATCAGTGAATTAACCGAGCAGCACACTATGACACAAAAGGGAGAAAAGCCGTCGTGCATCGGCAGCAACCGCAACAAAAATACCAGAGCGGGACAAAGAACATTGTTAACTGCAAAAATTGTGGTGGAAACCATCCAGCAAAGCATGATCAATGCAAGGCTTTCGGACAACAATGTCACCATTGTAAAATGTTTAATCATTTCAAGTCCCAGTGCAGATCTGCATCAAAAGACAATTTCAAATCCATCAATCAGATCACTGATGCAAACACGGACAGCAGTGAGGAGTCATTTCATATTGACGGGCTGTGTCTTCTTGGTGCCAGTGAAATTGATGCAGTCAATCACCACAGTGCGATTAACAAGCAAGAAATACATTGCAGCATGACAGTAAATGGCAAGCCCCTTGAGCTTAAAATTGACACAGGAGCAAAGTGCAATGTCATTTCAACTGAAACCTTCGAAGCAGTGAGAAAAGACGAGAAAATCCAAGAGAAATCAAAAGCAACGTTAGTGGCTTATGGAGGCACCATGATTGAAACAAAAGGAACAGTGATGCTGCAATGTTTTTGATGAGCAAACGAAAATCGTACCTGTTGCAGTTTCATGTGGTTAATACAAATGTCAAATCATTGCTGGGCCTGCCAGACTGTTTAAAAGTTAACTTGATATCTCTCAAAGAAGAAATACATGGAATTGATCTCGATAAAAATGAAAACCTGTCACAAGAAATAGTCACAGAGTATGCTGACCTATTTGACGATGATCTAGGCACCCTACCTGTGACATATTTAATGAAAATAAACCCAGACATCACTCCAGTGGTCCGGCCAGCTCGCCGAATACCTGTGGCAATGCGTGACAAAGTAGAAGCCGAACTAAAAAAACAGTACAAAACTAGGAGTCATAACACCCATTTCAGAGCGGGTGTCCTCAATGGTCGCCACGCATAAGAAAAACACTGACAAGATCCGCTTATGCATCGATCCAAGGGATCTGAATGAAGCCCTTATGCGCCCTCACCATCCTATGCGCACAGTAGAGGAGGTAGCGTCACAAATGTCCAACGCCAACATCTTCTCAGTGCTCGATGCTAAAAGCTCATTCTGTCAAATCAAGCTAGACTATGAATCTTCCCTACGCACCACTTTTGCGACACCTTTTGGCAGATATTGTTTTATGCGCATGCCTTTTGACATTAATTCAGCATCAGAAGTGTTCCAAAGGGCAATGGAGCAGATCTTCACAGGTTTTCCATGTGCCATAAACGTAGATGATATCATTGTTGGAGGAAAACAATGATTTGTTGTTCTAAACGGAGCACGGCAAGTGAATCTGAAATTAAACCATGAAAAATGCAAGTTTAGGCTCAAAGAAGTTAGTTATGTGGGCCATCTGTTCACAGAACATGGATTAAAACCAGACCCAGCCAAGATACAGGCCATAACAGAGATCCCACCGCCAAATGACAAAGCTGCCTTGCAACGTTTCTTGGGCATGGCTAACTACCTCGGCAAATTCATCCCAAATTTCAGTGAACTGACAGCACCACTTCGACAGCTGCTCCACGGGGACGTAGTTTGGTGCTGGTCACAGCAACAACAGAAAGCATTTGACATGCTAATAAAGTGCATCACATTCCCACCAGTGCTGAAGTACTTTGATGTAAGCAAGCCTGTGACCATCACGTGCGATGCTTCTCAATATGGACTGGGCGCTGCATGCCTACAGAATGATCAGTCGATCAGCTATGCCTCACGCACTCTCACTGAATCAGAGATGAGGTATGCTCAAATCGAAATGGAGCTATTGGCAGTGGTCTTTACTTGTCAGAAGTTTTATGACTACATCTATGGGAAACCGGTCTTGGTGGAAACAGGCCATCAGCCCCTTGTTACAATTCTGAACACACTGCTCCAGCACAACTTCAGCAAATGATACTGAAGCTGCACAAGTTCAACCTGACTCTTACTTACAAAAAAGGAAAGCAGCTATATTTGGCAGACACACTGTCACGTGCTCCCAAAAAAAACAACAACAAAAGATCTCAAAGACGAGGAAGAATTCGAAGTGATGGCAGTCCAAATGATTTCAGTCAACCGACTGCAAGAGCTCAGAGAACGAACTGAAGAAGAAGTCTGTGCATCACCATCAAGCACGGCTGGCCAAAGAAAATTCAGAATGTGCCAGTGCCACTAAAACCCTTCTTTCCTTTCCGAGATGAGCTCACTACTGAGGATGGAATAATCATGAAGGGAACAAGTGTGGTAATTCCTCATAGCCTACAGAGTGAATATCTAGAAATCTTGCACAAAGGTCGTACCGGAGCCGAAGCAACCAAACGCAGAGCACGCGATGCCGTTTTCTGGCTGACTATGATGCAGGACATTGACAACTTCGTGCAGTCTTGCAGCATATGCAATGCTTTGAAACCTCATCAACAAAAGGAGCCATTGCGCCTGCACGAGATCCCAGAACTGCCTTGGTCTGTCGTTGCCGCTGACATATTTGACTGGAATAGCCAACAGTACCTAGTGCTGGTAGATTCATATTCTGGGTGGTTTGAAATAAATTCACTAAGAAACCTGTCTTCGCAAAATGTCATCAACAAACTGAAGCAGCACTTTTCTGTGCACGGCATTCCCCAAAAGCTCGTCACTGATAACGGCACTCAGTTTACGAGCCAGATCTTCAGAGACTTTGCGAGTTCATGGGACTTTTGGTCACATCCCTAGCAGTCCTGAGTATCCCCAGGCGAACGGTCTCGCAGAAAGAGCCGTTCGCAGTGCAAAGCGCCTGCTCGAAACCACTAAGAGGGATGGGACAGACTTTTTCTGAATTGGTTGAAGATCCGCAACATTCCTCGAGATAAGATACTGGGTTCACCGGCACAGAGACTGATGTCCAGGGTAACACATACCAACATGCCCATCAGCAAACAGATGCTGAAGCCAAGGTCAAGGACACTGTGAAAGTAAAAACAGAACTTAAAAAAAAGAGACAAATGCAAAAAGCATTCTTTGATAAAAGGAGCAAGCCACTCTGTCCACTGCATGAATCCCAAGTAGTAAGGATGCAAACAACAAAAGGACATGACAAGATTGGAGTTGTTAGGATTACTCTCGTCGAGCCCAGGTCATATGTTGTGGAGTCAGACGGTAAGGAGTACAGGAGGAATCGTCGACATCTACTTCCTGTAAAACAACCACTTCCACACTACACACAAGCCGATCTGGAGGACTTGTCACAACTCAAATCTGTGCCAGACAGCAACAATGTGTCACAATGTGAAACAAGATGGTCAAGATGTGTTTAAGGAAGCTATGTTCATATATGGTCTTTCCGTAGTTGGAGTGCCCCCTGCTGGTTAGATAAGTTTGATATACAGGGGTTTTGGAGTGCTGCAAGCTCTACGTGAGAGCTAATAAACATGTTGTTCTCCAATATACAAAAGTCTCGGTCTTCATAACGAACTACACATACAATTCAAAATGCTTTTTTTTTTTTGGAGTGCAGTGATTGTTATGATCAGTAGATGGTGTATTTCTGATGGTCTGTTATCATGTGACAACAATTTTCATTAAAATTAATTCATAAATGTTTGGGGAGTCACACTACATATTGTTAGTTTGTTTGTCTTTTGGTTTTCTTTGCTCCGGTTTTGCCTGTGTTCTTAGTCATAGGTTTTATAATAAGCAGTTTTGCAGTTTTTTTCTGAAGTAATAACAATAAAAGACTATGCCAAACTACTTAATGTTATCTTTTAAAAATGCCATCCTTTTATTAAGGCTTTCAAAATAATCATTAAACAAACTTTAATTCAGAAATGATAAACATGCTCATTTTAGAAGAGATGCATTCAAGTCATGTTTATGAATAGCACTATAAATGTATTTTTAAATAAATATATAATACATGCATATATACATTTGATAAGTCTCATTTGTGGCAAACTAAGTTAAAGTTTAAAGAGAAAACAAAGTTAAAGTTTATCCAGGGTTCCCTTTAATAAAAAGGTCATTTTTCGAATTAATTTACATTTTTAAGTTCTAAAATAGTTTATAGTAGAAATTGTGAGTAAAAACTATATAAAAAAAATCCTAATCCTTCATTTTTATCCATTTTATTACAAACATCTAAAAAGTAATGGGGTCTTTGAATATTGCTGTCAGCAATGCAGGGCTTTAGTTGAGAATAACTGGGCTCAAGGAGGCCATGTTTCTGGCAGATTTACTACATACCTTTTGGAGAACTTGTACATTAGTGCAAGCTGCCTTCTGATACCCACTAGCATGGCAGCCGATCGGGCCTCCATCCACTGAAAGGTCTGCTGGCCCACCTGAAGAACATGACAAACATGCTCTTATTAACTCTATCTTGCTCAATCAACAGTCCAGGGGTACATTTACATGACTACGATGTACTGAAAAAGAAAACTACTAAGAATGCTGTGTTATGCATGCCAGACCAGTAGTTGGCGATGTCACTTTGTAAAGAAACTTTTTCTGTTTTTAGTTGAAATTGGTGTAGCGTAAACGCCCCCTGTAACAGCAGGAAAACAGAGAAATGCATCTTTCTTGCCATGTCCATTGCAAAGATGGCAACATGCAACGCGGTCAGCGACGGCGCCCTCAGTTGAGGATCGTGAAGTATTGCAGGCAAAAGCTCCGTCAGTTCTCTGGTCCACAGCTGCACTCCTTGCTGCCACGCCGTGTCCAAACGCACCCCTGTCACATCGTGGTACGCTCCAGCTAGAGTAGCCAGGGGTTCTGGGAAAAATTAAAACTACAATAACACTAATACACACCGACAGGCATTTTCAAGTGAAAGGTGATGACATGAAACCACAGTTGTGCTGGTGCATAATTGCGACTGGTTTAGAGATGCTTATGCAGTGATGCCACTAGAATGCTGTCAAGATCTATTACGGACCTTAACATGACCTTACGTTGCCACAGAAAATCATTTAAACATGTGCTCTGTATCTTAGAAAATAAAGGTATGTGTTTCCTGTGATTCACCCAGTGCGGCTCAAAGGGAACTGTGCATGTGATTATAAATAAAATCAGCGGTAACCTGAATGAATTATGAGTGACAGAGAACTTAAGGCAAACTCACTCCTGAGCTCTTGTTGGACCTGTTGAGATATGAGATGCAGGACATGGAGCATGTGTGGTAGGCTGTGTGTGAGCGTGTGTCGGAGCAGGCCTGTGGTCCATGCTTTCCACAGCGCTCCTGCTCTCTGAAGCAGCAGAGTCTCGGCTTGCTGGGTCAGAGACAGCGGCCCCTCACTCAGCTCCAACAGGAACATGCTGTCCCCTGCCTAGAAGACGGACAGCATCAGTCTGAATAATGATACTTGATTAACATGATATTTGATATAGCATTCTTTTTTGTAGATGGAAATATTTCAAATGGAACTCAAAAACAGAGTGAATGTACAGCGCTCTCTTCCACCTTCAATACCACGACTGAGGTGCCCTTGAGCAAGGCACCGAACCCCCAACTGCTCCCCGGGCGCCACAGCATAAATGGCTGCCCACTGCTCCGGGTGTGTGTTCACGGTGTGTGTGTGTTCACTGCTGTGTGTGTGCACTTTGGATGGGTAAATGCAGAGCACTAATTCCTAGTATGGGTCACCATACTTGGCCACATGTCACGTCACTCACTCAAATATATGACTAGTGCTTGCCGTAGCAGTTGCAGCTTGCTTCAGAAAACCTCCACCTTCCCCAGCTCCACCTGTATATATCTGCTATGAGGTATACTATACGAGGTATACTAATCTGATTCATGTATACTATACGGGGGTTATTTCATGTATGTTATATTTGCAGCAGCAATATTTCTTACATGCTCACAGCAGCATGTTGTGGATGTATTGGCAGTAGCAAGTCTCGGTACTTGCTCTGCCGCAGCAGCAGCAGCAGCAGCAGCAGCGTAGCAGATCTATTCCGCCAAGACCAAATACAATAACATTGCCATGTACATTACCATGCCAATCCCTCCGAGAATTGTCATGACAGAAATGAATTTATGTTTGAATATGCTATAATTTGTTTTGTAATGTATAAAAACTACAATTTTATTTTAATATTTTGTTTTAGATGAGTTGGTTAATAAATCTGCAAAAATGTCAACAATTCTGTGTTTTTCTGTCAATATAGGGTGCTGTGTGTACATTAATGAGGAAAAAAAATGAACTTAAATGATTTTAGCAAATGGCTGCAATATAACAAAGAGTGAAAAATTTAAGGGGGTCTGAATACTTTCCGTACCCACTGTATGGAAACTCATTCAGTCCTTTTTGAAAAGCATCCCAGGATGCACCTCATGAAGTTGGTTGAGAGATTTATTAAATACATGCTACCTTTCAAAAGGTGATGAATCACTTGTTGTATTCCTTAATTGTAAGTCGCCTTGGATAATAAATCTAAATGTCAAAAGTTTGGGGTTGGTAAGATTTCTTAATGTTTTTGAAAGAAGTCTTTTATTCTCATCAAGGCTGCATTTATTTGATCAAAAATGCAGTAAAAAACAATTTACGTAAAATATTATTACAATTCAAAATAATGTTTTTTTTTTTAATTTAAAAGATTTTAAAATATAATTTATTCCTGTATTGGCAAAGCTGAATTTTCAGTATCATTACTCCAGTCTTCAGAGTTACCAAATATGTTACCAGAGCACCAAAGATGCTGATTTGGTGCTCAAGATTTTTTTTTTTATTATCAAAATTGAAAACAGTTGTACTGTTTCATATTTTTGTGAAAACCATGATACACTTTTATTCTGGATTGTTTGATGAATTAAAAGTTCAAAAGAACGCCATTTAGAAATCTTTTTTAACATTATACTTAAGTGTTACTTTTACGGTCACTTTTTTAAAATAAATTTGCTGAATCAAAGCTTTAATATA